ACAATTTTAACTTATTGTTGGGATAGGTTGTTTGTAGGAAAACACTTCTTGTGGGGTGACAAAACTTTCTTTATTTTTCTGGTTGTTTTCGGTTAGAGCGCGCAAAACCAAGTGAAGTTATTCTTCGCTCGTCTCCATGTCGACCCCTCGGTCGCACTGGCAAAATTGTTAAACAACCCTGACTGGTTAACCCCACGCGTTGGGCCTTTCCAATCAGGGCCGTTTATTTTTCCCAAATCACCGCCTATTTCTTACGCCCACGGCGTGCTTGTTTTCGAAACGGCGTGGTGATTGAGGGGGACGACGTTGCGCCCTCACTGCAAGATTTCCTTCGGACCACCCGCGCTGGGCCCACTTGGCGAAACTCCGATGGGTACGCGTCGAGTGTCCTCCGGAAATCCCTAATTTACGACGGTCTCTATTTGCTGTTGAGGGACTTAGGAAAAGAATTTACTAAACGCATTCGATACGCGAGTCTGGAAAATATCTTCCTCAAAAACAGCTTCGACGAACGAGAGTCGTAAATTACGTGGGCCGTTTGCACGAGAGAAAAACTTTCCCATGTGCGCACGACCGGTCGCTACATTATAAATCACTTTATTTAAAAATAAATGTATTGATATACGAAAACTCCCGTTAACTGCAACAAACTCTGCTGGTTTTTCCTATACTGTAAATGGCGGACATCCTCCCCACACCCCACCGTTCGCATCACTTTTTCCTACGCTAAGCTATGCTATGGACGTTAGCAGTCTAATGTAACATATAGAAGTCTGTGGTGTAAACACACCTAGTGCTCACACTTTCCCTCGAGGTGCGAACAAGTCCCGCAGCCGCGACGAAGTCCCTTTCAAACTCAGCAGTCCGATGCACCGCTTGAATTTTGGACCAGGCAGCACCTTTGTCAGGACGTCGGCTACCATGTCGTCCGTTGGAACGTGCGAAATCTCCAACTTCTTGTCTTCGAGTGCCTCGCGTATGAAATGGTGCCAGACGTCTATATATTTGGTCTGGGAGTGGAACGTCGGGTTTTGCGCTAGTTTCAGAGCACTACGTTTGAAATGCGTGTCACAAATATTGATTCGTTGTGTTAGGTGAATTTCTTTCAATTCATGCGGAACCCAAATATCGAGCTTCTTAACAAGTCCAAGACGTCTTATATGATTTTCAATTGTTGTGTGTGATACATTTAACTGTTTTGCAATCTCTCGCACAGTTATATGACGGTTCAATTTAATTATGGCTTTCATTTTGTCATCATCAACTTCAGATGGTCGATCAGAACGTTGGTCACGTTTCAGTGAGAAATTTCCAGAACGAAATTTTTTAAATCAATTCTGACACGTGCGTTCTATTAAGCAATCAACACCATAAACTTCACATATCCCTTTGTGAGCCTCAGCCACTGTTTTGCCTTTATGAAAATAAAAAGGTAAAATGTGTTGAAAATGCTTATTTTTGCACTCCATGTTAAAACTGACCGTAAACTGACAGTAACTGACAGTAAACAAAATTACACGGAATTTGTTTCTATAGCAACCTAAAGGTATCGACTACCAAATCTCAAAAGAAAAAAATTCTAACATAGACAAAAGAATAACGAAACAAACATAACGATATCTACTGGTGTAAACCGAAATCACTTTCTTGCCAACCCAATACAGTGAAAACTCGATAAATGTCGCTACTCCGGGTCCGGTCAGCAACACTTACGGAATAGGAGAATCGTCTTTCGAATTTGATTGTAGTTTGCCGACGCTTCGAACGTAGAAAGAGTCAGTAGCTAAAGAAGAAAGAGGGACTGAAACTTGGATTTATCGCCCCAGTTTAAATATCCGCGTCAGTGTGACCACACTACTGCACAGAAGAAAGTTTTTTATTTTTTACTTTTTGTTAATAAAAATTTCACTATCATGTTGGGGAGATTTCTCTGATTAAAATGAGGCTAAACACGATATAAATCGGTCAATATTTGGTAGCATAATATTGAATTAAATATTGTACTTGCGAGTCTTTCTCTCTTTATTTATCCTTCTTGTGCTGTCCTTTTCTATGTTCGGAAATATCAAAGAACGACGCATCGAGGTGCTGGCTACATTTATCGAACGGGAGGTAGCTATTTTCAAACGGAACGGTTCCACCGTTTCGTAAGTGATCAAAAGCTGCAACACTTATGAAATAGGGGGGTTTCGTTAGCTACCACTGTTCGATAAATGTACCAATCCACTGACCTTGCGAAGATACGAGTACACAATATTTAATTCAATATTATGGTAACAAATATTGGCCGATATATATCGTGTTTAGTCTCATTTTAATTAGAAAAATCTTCCCCACATGATAGTAAAATTTTTATTAAAAAAAAGTAAAAAATAAAAACCTTTCTTCTTGTACAGTAGTGTGGTCACACTGACAGGGACATTTAAACTAAGATGACGAAGGCAATAAAGATTTTTAAAGAAAGCCGCTACGTCTCCGGTTACACTTCGCCTCACTGGTTCAAGGGGGATCCCCCTAGTGGTGGGGATAAAAATGTATCATTTATGGAACAGCTCTTGAGGACATTTATCGAGTTTTCACTCTACTCCTTTCGTGTGCTTATTATAGTCGATTAAAGCATTTGACTTTATAATTTTTTGTTTCGTTGAACGGTTAACATTACGGCTTTCTTTCATTTCCGCGGAATGGATTGGAGAGATGAGACTCACTTCTTTCTTCGATTGCCAAACTTGTATCAATATATCATATTTTCTGCGAAAGATTGTTTCCCCTTTTTTTAAATTAGTTTTTTCAGATACTTTGGTAAACCTCTATTCTTTCTAATGGTTCCGCAAATTCGTATTTGTTTTTTATAAAAGGGTTTCCGTGTTATAGAAACTGTTATAGTAATTGCCCATATACAAATGGTGCCAAACATCAGTACATATATGGCGAAACTACTGTGTGTATCGTTTCGATTAACCATAATCCTGGAGCTGCATAAACTTGATGAAATTGCAAATATAACCTGTGTCATTTTCAGATAATATTGAATGAGTATGCCGTACTCTATTAGTTTTCCAGCATTGTAAACTCTAAAATTCAATCGTCCCCTCTAAGGTATTATGCCCTCATCTAACGATACTTGTTGCTTTGGTTTGTAAATGTTATTAAATTTTTCAAGAAAATAATTTAGTACAGGCCTGACTTTGAATAATCGACCAAATTCGTCTGTGATGTCTTCATTGTTATTGAAATGCCAAACCTTTCATATTTGTCGAAATCTATCCCTTGACATAGTTTTTGAAAAAGACGGTCTGATCTGTGCAGGGATCAGTTGACCAATAATCATCTCGTGTATCTTTACGAACTTATCCCATGAAAATAATGAGCCCCAAAAATTTCTTCATCTTTCCATTTCGTACTTTTCTGGGATATTTTAAACTGGTTCATATTTTGATGATAATATCTGTTTGATTCCGTGACTAAATATGCAAAAAAGTCGTTGCCTATAAATAACTTTACTGCATCAACTGTGGATTTAGGAACATTAGTCATATCAGTTATCCCAGGATGACCCCAAAAACTCTTCAAGGACTGGAGGATTGTCAATCGATGACCATTCATCTGCTTTTTCATCAGAACTTGTTTCAGAACTACTAGAAATAGTTCTTCGGATGAATACTCGAGAACGTGGAATAATGTAATCATCGTCACTTTCTTCGTTATCTTGACTTTCAGAATTACTATCATACGAAAAGTCCGATAATCCGTCAGCACATATTTCGTGATCACTATCTTCGTCACAATGGCTCATTTTATCAATGTTGTAATCAATAATAAAAAAAACAATCTTCAAATTTACAAAACACGACTTGTACGTTCTGGAGCTCGTAATTCAACAGAAGACCGAGTAACTCAACAAACAAAATTTCTAGGAAGAAACAATGTAAACCGTTGCCTAGTAACACAAACACCATACGTACAATGCCCATCGTATTTATACAATACCCGCTCTCTAGCACAAATCTACTAAATACGTACTTTTACATGACCCGCACTCCAGTGGAAGACTGTGAAAAACGTAAAAGTATGTTTCCCGCATGCAATGTATTTGTACAATTCGCGGATGAGACGCGTCTGCGGTGTGTAAATCCTCGTCTCGAATAAGTTCGACACCCGGAATAATAAAAAGTACTGATATCCCTACGCCCTGTTAAGTCGGTCGGGATTAGTTAGGTTGCAATGATTGTTAGCAAAGTGTGACGGAAGAAGAGTACAGTATTGTCTCTCTATAGCCGCGCGTGTCGGGACCGGGCGCACGCAACTTGAGAGACGAGTAGTCTATTCAGCTTTCTTTGATTTCACGCTCGAGCGCTCAAGGGGGATGGGGCAGCGAGAACTGGATTTTTTGCTCGTTGCTCGGCGAAACCGATTTTTGTGTTCAGGCTCGGTACAGCGAGCGGGTTTATGATATGGACGTGATTTCTCCGCTATTTTTGAGGATTAGGCCTTCAAGACATTTTTATTTGATAAATTAGGATACGGTCATTAAGGAACCTCCAAACTCTACACGGGACTTGGAATCCTTGGAGCTCTTCCTTGCCGCAATAGCGATTGACGTGTCGTAAACCCGCGTTGACGCACAGCTGCGGACCACCGGAGTCTCGCGGTCATTGGGCATTTCCCAAAAGTTAATAATAATGCAGCGTTCTCGCTCACTCCTGCATGGTTTACCTGGATACTGGACGGCAGGGTGGGCGGGAATGTTGCAAATTGTTAGGAACCGCCCTGCCAAGGTGACGATGATGAGGATTGGCTTGACCAATCCTCCCTCCGGTAGACAATGTTCGTCGTTGTCACCTTGGCAGGGGAAACCGAGGTTTCCTTATGGGGAAATTGAGGACGGGAAGGCAGTTGACGATTGTAACCTGTGAATATTTGTTCGTGGCCGAAACACACAAATTTTTATATATCTTTGTGTTTATCTGGTGCGTGAGTGAATTGACGTGTCAGTGGTAATGGCTGCCAACAAAACTGACAAAAAGATAATCTTTTTGTCTCTGAAACAAAAAACTGACATTTTAGAAAATTTAGAATTTGGTGCTTCGGTTAAATTTTTGGCCCAAGAATATGGTGTTCATAAGAGCACAGTTCGGAGAATTCGTAGGGAAGGAACGAATATCCGTAATTTTGCAGATCAGAGGTCCCAAATATTACAATGGAAAAACCAGAGGAAACCAAAACATGACGACCTTGATAGCAGTTTGTATAAGTGGTTCCTTGAAAGACGAACGTTAGGAGATCCACTGTCGGACCTCCTGCTTCAGGAAAAGGCAATGGAGCTTTACAACGAAATTGGTGGAACGTCGTCGTTTACGGCAAGTAGAGGCTGGCTGACAAAATTTAAAAGACGGCACAACATTCGTCTACTTCATGTGCATGGGGAAGCAGGAAGTGCAGATGAGGAAAGTGCAGAACGGTTTTTAATTAACTTTGCCAAGAAAGTAGAGGAAGAAGGCATCGAGGAACACAATATTTATAACATGGACGAAAGTGGTTTAATGTGGAAGGCTATTCCTTCGAAAACTTTGGTCCATGGTGAAGAACACAAAATTGAAGGCAAAAAAATGAAAAAAGATCGCGTCACTATTGGCTTCTGTGCTAATGCGACTGGAACACACAAATTGCCACTACTGTTTATTTATAAATATCAAAATCCGAGAGCCTTAAAAAATTGTGGCACGTTACCAGTAGTCTATACGTTCCAAAAGCAGGCTTGGGTCAATACACAAATTTTTGCAGACTGGTATGAGAACCACTTTAAATCAAGTGTCAAACAGCATCAATTGGAGAATAAATGTCAAAGGAAGACAATTTTGCTGGTTGATAATTGTCAAGGCCACATAATTGAACTAGACGATGAAGAGGAACAGTTTGAAATTGTTTTTCTGCCTCCAAATACTACATCTATTATACAACCGATGGATCAAGGGATTATTGCAAAATTAAAAAAACGTTACAGACACAAAATGTTGCGCCACGTATTGACATTTCCGGGTGGACTTAATGAATTCTATTCTAGATTCACAATAAAAGATTGTATATTTTTAGTTCGCGATGCCTGGGAAGATGTTACCAGCAATGATATTAAGAATGGCTGGAACAAAATTTTTACAAAAGACCCTGAGGATTCTTCGGAAGATGCATTGAACACAACAATAGATTCGGAAATAAGCGAACTAATCCATACAATAAATGGCAAACCAATTAATCAAGAACTGTTAAACGATTTCTTTTTATTATTGGATCAAGTGGAAAACATGGATATTACAGAACAGGAAGGGGAAGCAGACATAGAAGAAGAAATAGAAGGAGGAGACGAACGGCATGGAGAAGATGAGGAAGAAGAGCAGCATCGAGAAGAAGAAGCAGTAACGGAGTTAGAAACGTCACAAGAGTTACCGATTATTCAAGCCAATGAAAACCTTGAAGAACGAAAACTGAGGGAGTTACAGTGGATAGACACCCTCATTAAGAACTGGGGCAATAATAAACCCCATGTACAAATAATGGGCGAGGCATTTAAAAAAATATTGGAGGCAGAAGCCTTGCCAGAAAATTAAATACTTTGAGAATGATAAGGTATATGTGTAAACAAATTTGCAGTAAGAATAAATAGTGCGCACTAATTTAATTCACCATTAACGATGAAATTAAATGTCAACCGTTTTACAGAACACCAACTTCACCAACGTGGGGACCAATCGTGAGTCGTTGAAGACTTCTTCCAAAAACTCGCTGTATCTTCGATGAATCGTACCGTCGCGGCGGTACTGGCCAGGTAGTCGCGTGAGTTTTCGTTTAAACTCTGAGGGGTTGTAAGACCCTCTTAACCCTCGTGGTACGCGGGTTCCTAGCCGTCGCTCGCCAAATTAATCTTGAGCGACTAGTTAATTGCCGGATTGTTTCGAATCGAAATCCGGCTGTTCTCTTTAATGTCGAATCACGAGTTGTTGCTCACGAACCGCTTGAGCTGAGGTTTCGCGAAATGATGTTCGAATAACGAATGGTTCACGAGACGATTGAACTGCCGATTTTGGAACGTTTACTCTGAGATTTCAGCGACGAGTTAAAGTGGATTTCGACCGTCGTCTTCGAACTTTTAGCGACGAGTTAAAGATTTCGATCGTTGTTGTCTGAGGTTTCAGCGACGAGTGTCGAAGTGTCCGGAGCCCGTTTCCTCCTCGGCTTGAACCCCCTCCGAGACGCGATTTTGGGGGTTCGTCAACCGATTCGCGTTGACTTCTTCCGTTTATCGATTGGCCATCGACTTGGGGGAGGAGGATCGATTTTCCTGCCCCGTTGGCCAGGAAACTCCTCCCTCGCGCGATCGTGGAGGAGGAAGAGTCCCATCTCACCCTGGACGAGGGTGACCGAGGTTTCCTCCCCAAGTCGAAGGCCCCGTTAATTTTGCCGAGGAAAAAACGGGACTCCGAATTACGCCTAGCTACACGTGCGTTGCAGACGTTTTATGGCTGCATTGTTCCATGAGTTGGCGACGGTCGTTGTAGAGGACCGTGCCACCCGCGGAACAATGCAGCCCTTCGTCGGTCAACTCGGGCCTTGCACTTTCGAAAAGCTAAAGTGCTTGAATGCTTTACGATGAAATTTGCCAGATGCGGAATGTTCGAAGACTTTTTCGACAAAGTCAAGGTTCCGCATCTGGCACCATAAACGAACGGAAAAACCCGGGCTGACCGGACGGAACATGCTCCCCCCGTTGAACGCGGAAGGCGTTCAAGAGGTTGAATGGTGACCGATTCGTGTCACGGAGCTAAGATGATGCGATTGATTCGATTATACGATTACGATAATTGCGGATTACGACCGCTAAACGACTGCTCAACGCTTTGAGCAGTTTTGATTTTTTGCCCATCGAACGCTGGGCCGGCTGCGCGCTGCTGTGCCGGGGGCTGCTTGGCTGGTCCGCACGATGACCGCTCTGATTACCCCCTTCTGGTCCGGTGTGCCTCCTCTCGAAACGGGCGAGGTGCTCCTGGAGCAGGTTGGACCGTTGTCCTACAGCGGTGCGGGATGCGGTGATTGCGGATTACGACCGCTAGGCGACTGCTCAACGTTTTGAGCAGTTTCGATGTCGTCCGTTACTGGAAGCTGGGCCAGCTGCTTGACGCTGCGCCTGTAGCTGCCGTGGCTGGTCCGCACGGTCGCCGCTCGTGTTACCCCGTCTGGCCCAGTGTGCATCCTTTCGATTCGGCCGAGGTGCCACTGGAGCGGAGGTAGGTGGTCGTCCTTCAAGACCACCAAGGATCCCTCTCGTAGATCGTGGGATCCCTTGACCCACTTTTGTCGTACGTTGAGCTGGTTCAGGTACTCTTTGTACCACCTGTTCCAGAAGTCGCGTTTTACCTTCTGGATATGCTGCCACTTCGACAGCCGGTTGACAGGTGTATTGCTGAAATCGGCCTCAGGTAGGCTCGTCAAAGAATTACCAATTAACAGGTGGGCTGGAGTCAATGCGGAAGGATCGGTTGGGTCGGCGGAAAGTGGAGTTAGCGGACGTGAATTTAGGATTCCTTCGATTTCGACAACCAAGGTGTTGAACTCTTCGAACGTAAAGAGTTCTTCACCGACCACGCGTTTTATGTGGTGTTTGAACGACCGAACCGCGGCTTCCCATAGCCCTCCGAAGTTCGGTGAGAGGGCTGGGATGAAGTGCCACGATATTTGTTTGTCGATAAGCCATCGTTGTACCCCTTCCCGTTTGGTTTCGCGGCGTTCCGTGTCTGTCACGGTTTCGATTCCGTCAATCCCGTGTGTTTCGCGTCTTGGTGCAATTTTGTATTATGCCGCTGATTGCACACTTGGCATGTACCACCGCGGCAATCCTCGCTTCGGTGTCCCGGACGTAAGCAGTTCATGCACAGATCGGCCTTGCGCGCGGCGTCGATACGATGAATGACCGGCATCTCGATGAACCGTTTGCACGAATATTCTGCGTGTCCCTCCGAATTGCAGATGCTGCACGATGACCCGGCGATCGATCTCGGTGTCTTTCGTTGCGGACGCGGTGACGGTGGCTGCCGTTTTGAGTAATTTTCGCGCTGGTCGAAATTCGCGCGCGGCGGTTCCCTTGTCGACGTTTTCGTAGCGTACGTCTTTATTTTTTGGTATTGTGTCTTCGGAGAACGCGGGCGAAGATGGTACGGTCGCGATTGAGTCGAAGGCGGAATCGCGTCTCGATATGAGTTTTGTGTTGCGCGATTTGTCGGTTCAAATTCTTCCGTCTGATGTGATGCGTTATGCATGAATTTGATGACCTCCTCGAGTTTGGGAACTTCGGTGTCGGAGAGCGTACGTTCCCAGTTCCGTTTCGTTTCTTCGTCCATCTTCGAGACGATGATGCTGGTAATTAAATCCTGCGCTATGTTCTCCCAAGAACGACCGAGGGCTTGCAGGGATCGAATGTGCAGTTGCACGTGGTTCACGAGGTCGCGTACCGATTCGGACCTGTGATCGGGCATCGATGGCGAGTCGCGGAGCAGGGCCGCATGACGGAGTACGAGTGCGCGTCGGTTGTCGTACATCTCGCTTAAGTGAGTCCACGCCGCTTCGTAATTCTCATTCGAGATCGTGAAAGCGCTGATCGCCGCTTCAGCCTTTCCCGATAGAGACAATTGCAGGTACTGCAATTTTTGAATCTTACTTAGCCCCGGTTGTAAATGAATAAGATTATTGAACGCATCCTTGAACGTGAGCCATGACTCGATTCGTCCGTCGAATTTCGGAAGGCTCATCTTCGGCAAGTTTACCGGCAGCGAGCATGACGACGTGGCTGTCGGGTTGCAGCTTCCGTTGCTGCAATTCGCGGGACTCGAATGCTCTCCCGATTTTGAAGGAGCAGCGGCGCTCGCGAGACGATTGAGCATCACCGTTGCTCTTGCAATCACGTTGTCGTAAATATCGGTCGCGGCGTTTCTTTCGACCTCGGCTTCGTCATAATTGTCTATGTTGCCTAGCTCGTCTTGGACGCGATTAAACGTGTCGAATTGCCCGCGAATGCGCAGAAGCCGTTCGGACAATTTTATGCGTTCTGTCTCGCTGTCCTTGAAGGAGTCCAAGTAATGCCCGAACATTGTTACTTGGCTCTTGCACGTGCGCCGTTTATTTTTCAATTCGCGAATTCGGACCTCGTGATCGTCGGACATGCTCGCGCTCGTGTCTTTGGTCAGAGACATGTCTTAATCGAAGTGAAGGATCGGAAAGAGAGGAAATTCAAACCGTGTTAATTGGCAATTGTAACGAACGAGCCTACCTTTCGCAGTCCGTCCAGGGGTCGTCTTGAATCTGTGGTCAGCGTTGTCCTGTAGTAGACCGTCGCTGTCCTTCCCTGGAGTCGTCCTCGTTTGGTCGGTTGGCTTGCCTCGGGATGGCCTTATACGAAAAGGCCTCCTCTCATACGGTGGGTGGATAGCTTGTGGATTGCAGGTTTGGTCGCACTGTTTCCACACGTCACTATCCGGCTCGAAGGACCATGAATCGTACCGTCGCGGCGGTACTGGCCAGGTAGTCGCGTGAGTTTTCGTTTAAACTCTGAGGGGTTGTAAGGCCCTCTTAACCCTCGTGGTACGCGGGTTCCTAGCCGTCGCTCGCCAAATTAATCTTGAGCGACTAGTTAATTGCCGGATTGTTTCGAATCGAAATCCGGCTGTTCTCTTTAATGTCGAATCACGAGTTGTTGCTCACGAACCGCTTGAGCTGAGGTTTCGCGAAATGATGTTCGAATAACGAATGGTTCACGAGACGATTGAACTGCCGATTTTGGAACGTTTACTCTGAGATTTCAGCGACGAGTTAAAGTGGATTTCGACCGTCGTCTTCGAACTTTTAGCGACGAGTTAAAGATTTCGATCGTTGTTGTCTGAGGTTTCAGCGACGAGTGTCGAAGTGTCCGGAGCCCGTTTCCTCCTCGGCTTGAACCCCCTCCGAGACGCGATTTTGGGGGTTCGTCAACCGATTCGCGTTGACTTCTTCCGTTTATCGATTGGCCATCGACTTGGGGGAGGAGGATCGATTTTCCTGCCCCGTTGGCCAGGAAACTCCTCCCTCGCGCGATCGTGGAGGAGGAAGAGTCCCATCTCACCCTGGACGAGGGTGACCGAGGTTTCCTCCCCAAGTCGAAGGCCCCGTTAATTTTGCCGAGGAAAAAACGGGACTCCGAATTACGCCTAGCTACACGTGCGTTGCAGACGTTTTATGGCTGCATTGTTCCATGAGTTGGCGACGGTCGTTGTAGAGGACCGTGCCACCCGCGGAACAATGCAGCCCTTCGTCGGTCAACTCGGGCCTTGCACTTTCGAAAAGCTAAAGTGCTTGAATGCTTTACGATGAAATTTGCCAGATGCGGAATGTTCGAAGACTTTTTCGACAAAGTCAAGGTTCCGCATCTGGCACCATAAACGAGCGGAAAAACCCCGAGCTGACCGGACGGAACATGCTCCCCCCGTTGAACGCGGAAGGCGTTCAAGAGGTTGAATGGTGACCGATTCGTGTCACGGAGCTAAGGTGATGCGATTGATTCGATTATGCGATTACGATAATTGCG